TATATATCTATCTTTTAATAAAGTATATATTTTATTACCTTATTTATTAAATAAACGTTTATAGGGTTAATTTTATTTATTTTTAATTTATTTATCTTCTTTATAAAGGTATTATATAGTATTTTTAATTACTCCTCCCTTATATCTTATACTTTAAATATAATAATAATAATAAATATAAATCTAATTTCTAGCTTTTTATTCCTTTTTAACTGCCTTTTCTATTTTTTATAAGATTATTTTAAATAAAATATTATTTATAGCTTTAAATAATTTAACTTAATTATCTATATTAAGAATAATAGTCTTTCCTTATCTTATTATTTTTAAGACTTATAGCTCTTTTTCTTTATTTTCTATATTATCTTTTTTTTTATCTTCTTTTTCTTTACTTTTATTTTTATAAACTTTTTATTATTCTTTTTCTTTTTTAAAAAGTTCTTTTAGCTCCTTTCCTAGCTTATTAAAGACTTTAGGTTTTATAAAGGTTAAAGTATAATATAAAACTATATTATATCTGCTTTAAGTTAATTGTAATATTTAAATATATATAGCTATTTAAAGGTCTTATACCTAAGTTAGTCTAAGAGTTTATTTACTTTAATTTAAATCTCTAGGTTTCTTAAGTTCTAGGCAATTATATATAATATATTTATATTTATTATAATTATAGCATTTAACCCTAAATATATCTTATATCTTATTATTACCTTATTATATAGCTCCTAGGACTATAAGCCTTACTTATATTTTATATAAAGTATTATTTTGCTAATTACTATATTAATATCCTTAGTTTTAAAAGTTACCTTATTTATTATTATATTACTAACTAAAGTAATATAAATTAAAGTTACTTCCTTATCCTATATTAGTCTTAATAGCTCTTTCTTTTTTATATTTATATTATTATTTATTAATCTTAATTACTATAGTAATATATTTTATAATATTATTAAATAATTTACCTTATATAGTTTATTTTTAACTTCTTCCTTTAATTCTTTATAATAAATTTCTATAAGGGCTTTATTATTTTATTAAGTTTTAAAGGTAAGTTATTAAAATTTAGTAAAGTAAGCTATATATAAATTAATCTATTATATATTATAATTTTAATAACTACCATCCACAACCCCTCTTTCGGCATAACCCCTCTTTCGGCAAGCAAAATAAAAAAAGCTTCACCAAAACTCATCAACTTCACTTACACAAATATTGGCCAAAATAAATAGCTACTTGGAGGACAATGCCTTTGCTGATTATAGAAATGATTGGAGTTAACGATTGTAGCCCTCTAAGGCTGTGCGGGGTACGCGATGTATGCATACCGTGCTATAGAAATAGTGTTAATTCGATCATCAAGTTCTTCACCGCTCTTTTCTGTGTTTTTTGGCCTTTATCTGCGACAACATATGAAAATGCCTAGGTCAAGACTTCGATGGAAATACACAGAGGAAGACATGGCAGAGGCAATATTGGATGTTACTGATAATGGTTTTTCACCTCCTCAAGCCGCTCAGAGACGGGGAGTGCCTCGGAGCACTCTAATCGACAGACTTAACGGCCGCGGGGCCGTGAAAGAGCAGGTCCACCCTTATCGACGCTTGTCCAAGAGCCAAGAGGATAGGCTCGCTTTCTGGATACTCCGTCAGCAGTCTTTGGGCTATGCTCCGTCCCACAGTCAGATCCGCGCTTGCGTCATGGGCCTGCTGAGACAGCAGGGCGAACATCCCGACTTAGGACGCAACTGGGTGAACAAGTTTATCAATCGCCGTGCAGACCTAAAGACCAAGATGGGCAGACGTCAAGAAGCCAAGAGGTTCGACTCTTTCACACCTAGAGCGGTTCATTGGTACTTTGATATCAGGGAGGGCCAATATGGTTGGATCAAGCCTGAAAACACCGTCAACGTTGATGAAGGCGGTATTATGACTGGTTTCGGCAAGTATTCACCTCTATTACTTGTCGGTGCTTGCATTTTGACCGACTAATTATCTTCATTCAGGCCTAGATAGCTTAGTTGTTGGAAGCGCGGACCCGAAGCGCAAGGCCTTCCTCAAGGGACCACAGACTCGGAATTGGACTTCATTCATCGAAGCCGTCACTGCTGACGGCCGCGCTTTAGTTCCTGGCATAATATTCAAGGGGAAACAACTCCAGAAACAGTGGTTTCTTGATGAGTTCAAGCAGATAGCAGACTGGTATTATATAACATCGCCCAACGGGTGGACTGATGACCACATAGGCATTGAATGGCTTGAAAGAGTTTATCTGCCCCAGACTACGCCTGCCGACGACTCTGATGCGAGACTGATCATTTTAGATGGTCATGGAAGCCATGCAACAATATGTTCACTATTTTCCCCACCTCAAGATCAGTGCTGAGTGATGGAAGGATGAATGGATGGCCACGTGCTTTTTGAACAACGTTTATTGCTGCTATCTACCAGCACACTGCTCTCATGGACTCCAGCCACTGGACAATGGAGTATTTAATGCGTCGAAGGCTGCATATCGACGAGAGTTGGAAAAGTTCGCTTCGTTGACTGATTCCGCTCCAATGGACAAGGTCAATTTCATCAGGGCCTACGCCAAGGCTCGCCGAGTTGGAATGACCAAGAAGAACATACTGTCTGGCTGGAGGGTCACTGGGAACTGGCCAATTTCACGTGCGAAAGCGTTACGGCACCCTGAAATCCAACAAGATGGGCCAAACGGCAGCCCAAGAGTGACTCCTGAACCCAGGCCGTATCTTGGCTCGGACGATACGCCACAGACGAGCCGTCAAATTCGTGACCTTGGGTTGAACAAAACACCAAAGACGCGGAGACGGTATAACGTGATAGCCAAGGGCTTTGAAGCTCAACAGCAGACAGTAGCGGCGCATACGCAGAGGATTGCCAGCCTAGAAGAAGAATTGGCTCGGCTGAAAAGAGGGAAGAAGAGGAAGGCGGTGCCGAATCCTAACAAACGTTTTATGACTCTTGGAGAGACTCTAGCTAGTAAAGAGTGCATACCAGAAGGGGCGACTCGTTATATGCCTGTTGGGGTGGAATTTGTCTCTTCAAGCGAGCAAGAGTCAGAATCGGAGGCTGGTTCTGTCATCGAAGTCAGAGAGGAAAACATACCCCACCAACCACCCAGGCGGTCGCGGCGGGTGGCGAAAAAAACCAGAGTACAATAGATAAACCCTATTTATGATTTATGAAACGAAAAATTTCACGGATTTCTATCAATTCGGTCAAGTTCTGTGTAAGTGAAGTTGTTGATTTTTGGTGGTGGCTTTTTTATTTTGCTTGCCGAAAGAGGGGTTATGCCGAAAGAGGGGTTGTGGATGGTACTTAATAATTTGTATTAATTACTTTAAAATTATTTTTAAGTATTATTTTAAAGTTTCTTTAATCAATAAAAATATTAATAATTTCCTAATTTTATATAATTTTAATATTTCCTAAGCAGTCTTTAAAAATAAGTTTAACTAATCCTTAGTATTTCCTTAAATAAGTAATATAATATATAATACTTTCTTTATTATAATATTTAGTTTTATAAGAAATAAATAGAAATATACTTTTATTTAAATTAAAAATAAAATTATATTAATAGCTTATTTCTTAAAGGGTTTTAGCTTAAGTAGCTTTAGTACTTTTTTAGTATCTTATTTCTATAAGAGGTAATTAATATATCTTACTAAGGCAATATCTTACTTATTAATATATACCTATAGGTTATATATAATATTATATATTTACTAGATTTTAATTATTGTTTTAATTATATTAAATAGCTCTTTAATATAAAGAGATATTAAGGTAGTATTACTAAATATTTTTAATAATATAACAATATTTAAATATTAATATAATATATTCTAAATAAGAGCTATTAATATATAATAATTAGGGTTATAAATAGGTAATCTAATTTATACTAAGTTTTATATTTATAAAGTAATAAGGTATTATACTAAGTAATAGTAAAGTATTATATCTTTTAATAATTAATAATATAATTTAGGTTTATTATAGTAAAGAAATCTTATTAATAATTAATAAGTTAAGCTTTATAAGAATATTAATAAATATATTTATATACTAGTTTTAATTATAAAATAGTAATAAGAATTACTAATAATTTTAATAGTTATTAGTAATTTATAAGAGTTATTAGTATTTCTATTATATTTATAATAACTCTATCTTAGTAGTTATAATTAGAATCCCTTAGTTTATAGTAATTATATATAATTAGTAAAAAATATAAGGTATATATAATATAACTACTAAAATTATAACACTAAGCTAGACCTTATTTATATATATATGTTTTATAAATTCTATAAAGATATAAGTCTTATATTTATTTAAGATAAGAAGTCCCTATTATAATAAGTTTTTTAATATTATCTTAAGAAGAAAAATATTATAAAACTATCATAATAGAAATTTTATATTACTTTAGCCCTTTTTATTATATATATATTTCTAATTAGAAATAAAATTATTAAAGTTTTAGCCTTATAATGTTTTTCCTATATATATAATATAAGGGATTAGTTACTAATTTATAGTAAATATAATTATAAAGATTAAGACTTAAGCTAAGATATTAAATTAATAAAATATAAATAAAGCTCTTCTAATAATTAATTCTTATTTAATTATAAAGTAAAGTAATATATTAAAATTAGGAGTGTTATTGGCAAGCCCAGGGTGATTCCAGACTTTTGGCCATTAATTTTACATGGTCTTGCCCATGTTCCTCTAATAAGTCGCAATGGCCATGCCCAATTTTGTTTGCAAAAAGGCTGTGTTAGCCGCACCAACCGATTGGATGGCTGGGCTAGGTCAGGCCGCTACTAACCATTCTCGTCTTACTCAGAATGTACCTATCCACAATGCTTCTAGACCCGGCCTTGGTTGTGGATCCCACCCCTGGGACATGTATAAATGAACCGCAAAGCCTCGCTCAATCGACGGACGACTTTACCCTTCTCAACACCATTCTTGCCATCAACTCGCTGTTCTTCGCAATACCTTGAGCAACACTTGCCCATTATGCTCTTCAAATCGAAGAAGGCGAACCTCTGGTTCTGCTGCCTCATTGCTTGCACTTGTATGGCTGTCAATGGTTATGATTCCTCTACTTTCAACGCAGCGCAGGGATCAGTTCATTTCATGAACTACTTTGGTAATCCCGTATGTTTCTTTTATTCCAACACCACGGGTTGTTTAGACCTTGACCTGAACTAATTAATGACCAGTCTCCATCTGCCATCGGCTCGGTCAATACCGCCATGGGTGTATGCGGTATCGTTGCAGGTAATAATCCATCTTTCCGAGCCATCGGCTTGATGCTCATATTCTTCATCTTCCAGGAGTATTCTTCTCAGGCCCCATTTCCGATCGATTCGGCCGCAAGTGGACTATGTGGGCTGGCGCCACATTTATCATCATCTCGACCTTTGTTTCGACATTTACACCTCCTGTCATTGGTGGCTTCATCGCCGGTCGTGCCATCACTGGTTTTGGTCAGGGATTGATGATGCCGGCTGGACCAGTTTATATCAACGAAATAGCACCGGCAAACCTCCGGGGTACTATCATGAGTTTCTGGCAGCTCTTCTTCACTGTGGGATCTTTTGTCGCATATTGGATCAACTACGGGTGCTCGAAAAATGCCGAGAGCCTCGGAGAATGGGATTGGAAGATTGTTATGCTCCTACAAATCTTTTGCCCTATCGTTATCATGTCGGGACTTTTCTTCTGTCCTGAGACTCCAAGATGGTATGCCATTGGGAACCCCACTGTCTGAGGCAGACAGGATGCTTTCTTGAATGCGATGTTCATCAAGCTACAGGTATATCCAGAATGACAGATTCAAAGAGGCTCACAAAGTCCTCTTGGGAGTTCGCGACGACCCAGACCTTATTGCCCAAGAGATGGAAGAGATACGACAAGCCATTGCGTTTGAAAAGCAACAGACAAACAGCACTTGGGCCCGATACAAGTTGCTGTGGACGGATAAATCTGTGAGAAAGCGCATGCGTAAGTTTTCTTGGCCCTGTTAATGCTCATTGTCTGACTTCGTTAGTCCTCGCGGCTGGCATCAATATTGGACAACAGCTTTCCGGAAACGGCTCCCTCGCAACCTACTCTACCATCATTTACAAGAAAGTCTTTACTTCAAACAGCCAGATTCAGCTCATCAACGCTTTGGGTGGAACCTTTAACATTCTTTTCACTCTGAATGCCACTTGGATGACGGATTTCCTGGGACGAAGACCTCTGCTCCTCATTGGTGTTGCTGGAATGGCAGTCTGCATGTTTGCAGTTGCAGCTGTAGTCACCGAGACGCCGACTCTCGAGGATGGATCCAAGTCTTCCAGCGTGGGTATCGCGACCGTCTTCTTGATGTTCCTGTTTGCCCTGTTCTACAAGCCTTCTTGGGGTGCAACAGTGTGGATCTGGACTTCAGAAATCTTTTCGATGAACGTTCGTGCGCAAGCCGTTGCTATGACCACTCAGTGCCAGTCTATCGCAAGCATCATTCTCCGTAAGTATTTGTTCTCGCTTTACCCGACCTGATAAGTAACAAATATTGCAGAACAAATTTTTCCCATCTTTCTCACTGAGAAGGGATTGTAGGTTACTCGAATCCTGCCTGAAATCTCAATGTACTAACCTTTTTGGCAGCTATGCTATGTATATGTTTGGTGCTATTAATGTGCTTCTCTTCGTCTTCGTTTGGGTCTGTATCCCAGAAACCAAGGGTGTGTCTCTGGAGCACATGGACGTACTGTTTGGTGGCGTAGATCACGCAGATGTGGGAGCTGTCATCGTCACTGAGAAAACTGTCAATGATGATAAGGCTTCCGTCCATGTCACTGAGACCCTGGCGGTCCATCAGGCCAAGTCTGGCAGTGCTGTGTAAGCTAAGTTTATTAAATTTAAGGCGCAGCATAGTAAGGGCTATATAGCTTTCTTTTATCTAGGTCAGTAGGCGATTTATGCAGAGGGGAGTTAAATACTTATAGATATCCTATGGAAAATAATTATAAGTTGTTTTACTATAGTATATAATATTAATATACCTTTAGAAAAACTTTTAATTATAATTAAGAATTTTAATTAGAAATAAGACAGGTTTTCGGTTTTAGATTAATTAGAGCTCTAAAAGTCCTACCCTCTCTTTCTAATTTAAAACAAGGCCTATTTATAAATTAAATATACTTATAAAAATATATAATAAGGCTTATTCCTAATATAATAATTTATACTATCTTAGTAGAGGTTTTTTAGTATTTAAAATTATATGTTATTAATACTATCTTATTAAAGCTTTCTTTTAAATAATATTTTAAAATTATAAGCAAGATTCCAACGGCTTGGCATAAGCCTTGTGGATTGTGTTATGGCCTGGTCCTCTGGACAGCGATTGGCTTAAAAGAGCAGCTAGTGTGCCCAGCAGTTGCAATAGCGATTATTAACTAATATTTTGTCCTATGGTACAGCGGTGTAGCACAACTGTTATATTTAGTACTGCCTCAATCTATTAGTATTTTAAGTAGGGAAAAGTAATAACCTATATTTAAATTCTGCTTATATTCTCAATATATAACAGGGGTAATACTAGGAGGAATATCTTGGAGCTTTAATATATTTGATAGAATGGGTTGGAAATAAGTAGCTAGCATCGGCATCTCTTGGCATAGTATAACTCCCATCATCTCATATGTCCCGCACCATTTTGTGACTGATAGCTGGCAATACAAAAAGGAAATAGGTTCCCTTTAATGAACGGGCCAAATTTCCAGCTAAACTATATCATTCCCCGCCAGGTGCCGCAAACACCCTGATGATATTGACGGCGCGGAGAAGTATGGTAGAGCCAGCCTAACAATCGTCCCCGCATTTCCAGTAGTGGGAGCCGCAGGAACCAAAAGCGGCAGTCTTCTTGCAGGATAGACCGGCAGCTCCCGATTTCCGGCAATCATAATCCTCCAGGAGGGCAGAAAGAAACTTATTGCGGGCCGCCGTCGGTCCCAGATCGGGGCATGCGTCGGTGCATTTATAGTTGCAGCGTCCGCTCACTTCGCCGGTACTGGTGCAGGTCTTCTTGCACGCCTGGACTCCAGCCACAGTGGCTAGAGCGTAGACAAGGAAGGTTGGTTTAACCATTGTAACGGATCTAGAAAGACAGTGAGTATAAAGCGGCGACGTGCGTGACAAGGACATACAAGTGAGGAGGATGCTTTGCTGTTGTATAAGGTGATATATGAGTTGAGTTTGCTGTTAGCTGGGAAGGGCGTCAATCTCAGCGGTATTTATAGACAGAAGTTGGAGTCTACATGCCCAATAAATATGTTAAGGGACCGAGGGAAGCTATGGGTATGTGTTCAGCAATTGGGCGTGTAGCCTGTCAGCGGATGAAGCTTCTATCCGAATAACCCTTGGTCTTACGGTAATAGGGTCGTATCCGGCGGCTTGCTTTGCTGCTTAGTCTTCGGCATTATTGGCAGGAACGCTGATATGTGCTCGGATCTACCGAAAATTGTAGCTCCTATACTTGGCTTCGGAGGTTGTCTAGCCCCTCAATGACCTCCTTTAAGAGATATTGCCCCGACGAACTAGCCCAAATCAGCCTTTAATAGCTTTCTGGCTCTACACCTTCCTTCTTCCAGGCTAAAAGGATCCCAGCTAGTGATCGGCCATAAATTTTCTAGCTTAAAAGCTTAAATAGAGCCCAGCGCACAGCTGTAAATGATGGTAAATGCGCACCGTGTTTGATAGCACACAGCCAATACGCGAACTGCTGACAGGCCACACATAAGCTATATAACACTGCGCCTAACGTAGACGTTCCAGAACTGATGTGACTATCGAATTCCGCCTTCAGCGATGCGTTCTGCATTCATTGATGGTGAAGGGTGAGGATGATCTCAGTGTCGGAGGCAGGTCCTGCAAGCCCCACTCCGTCAGGTTGTCCTGGCTCCGATGGGCATTCGAGCGCCTACCCCGGGGCTAGCTGATGCACATGCGCTACCAACTTGAAGAGGCAGCTAGGGGCTCCTGTCGGACCCAAAGTGGAGCTGGTAGGAGTTGCAGGACCTGTTATAAACGACGACTCCAGCCCTACCATGCAGAAGTTCCTGGAACAAAACCCCGCCTTGCAGAAGTTCCTCGAACCAAATCCTGTCTCGCAGAAGTTCCTCGAACGCATCTACAACAGCTACCAGGATTTCATCGCCGCGCTGAAGCGCAGCGGTGTGCCCAACTGTGCGCTGTGGATGCTGAAGCTGTGCCGCCGGGTGCTCGGCGGCACCCCCAGCACCCGGACCATGGTGGGCGAGCAGCAACTTCGAGAACCGTTCTTCCATCATGACAATCTCATCGTCCAAGGACGTCTCCGCAGTTACATTTGCAATTTTGCCATCTTCAAATCTTTTTCTTAGCAGAGCTTGTGGCAAGGAGATCGCAGAAGTAGCATAGTGGTTCATGCATATCTTCTATTAGAACGATGCAAACTTAAAGTAATTTTTATTATTGCAAATATAATATTGGCAAGTCTGGAACTGCAAATTGTATCTTATATGATCTGGCATCTTGAGCTGGTGATTTATTGGTGCCACGATACCCTCTGACCCACTCTCAAATGCTACCGTGAGGTTGCGGGGTAAAGAAGCTTAAGCCAACCACGTTGGTCTATATTTGTACAAGTACGAACTGCCAATTTAGAAAAGACAAACTAAAATATAAATATTGCGGCGTAAATGGTTATTAGATACCTGCCATTTGGGTGTAAAGTCAGCTGGATTTATATGTATTAGACAGATGTTTCCGGAAAATACATTATAATAGATACACCCCATAATCGCCGCTGATCTTTGCCAAATTTCTATAATGAAGCTGATTTTATTACAGGATCGCTGAGAGGAATAGAGTAACTATGAGATCCGCCATTATAACGAAAGACGTCCTTAATTAAGGACAAACGCTGTGGAAAGTTAGCGCCGCCTTGAAATCCTTCAAGTTACTTAAAGCCTTCTGCTAAGCCCCTGTTCATACTCAGCTCATATGTAAGTTAGATAGGTAGAGGTCGGAGTTTGTATATCTCCATAACTATTTTCGGCTCATTCCGATGGTCGCGATATGCTCAAATCATGCGTTACTACTGTCCATCACTTATAAGAGGCAGAATACGCTATCAGCCTTTGTACCCAGTATGGTTGCGCATTTTCCTTGAATTTTAGAAGATGACGTTTTTTATTCCGACTTCCCGAGCATTATAGCTTGTTAACACTACGCTCTCCATCTTCTGAACAGTATTGTTAATAGTTCCTTTAGCTATTGTCAGCCTCTGAGCCGACCTTGCCTTCTGACTTTTTGGTTATGCAGTGATGAGAGTATATTCAGTCTTGCAGGGCAGATAGTTAGAGCTTAGAGACTAACTTTAGGCAGATATAAAAGCAGATTAATATATCTTATTACAGGAGAAAGGTGCGGCTATTTAAATAGTTAAATTAAATTAAATTAAATTAATTAAATTTATATAAGATAAGAGAGGTTTAGTAGTAATAATTTAGTAGTATAATTTTAATAAAAATACACTAAAACCGATTATGTATAATATAAACTATGTCAAACCGCCGGGTGCCAATTAGCAGGGCATTTAGATTAAAGGAGCTGCTCTTCCCAAAATGGAAGAGTTACATGATATTTTATCCCTCTTTTAGAGATTAGCTAGGCTGCATTAGAAAGGCCCCAGACAGACAGTTCAATCAATTAAGCAACGGTTTAATAAACTATATATATAAATAAAGCGAAAATTAACTCCTATTATATCTTAGTTATAATAATACCTTGGTACTTTAATATTTAGGCTTTAAAGACTTATATTAAAACTAACTTATAATAACTTACTATTTATAAAATATACCTTAAATAATTCTAATTATCTTATATAGCCCTATATAGAATATAAATTCCCTTATAATTATTATTATTTATTTAAATACTATTAATTAATATAAAAGGCAGGGATTATATTAGTATTATTAGTATATTAGGTATATATTATATCTAATTTACTTTAAAGTATTATTAATAAAAGCTATAATAAAAAACTATTAATATTAGACCTATATTGCCTTATATTTAAATTAGTACTAATAAAATGTTTATAGGCTTTAATATAGCTATAGAGGCTTAGGGGTCTTACCTTATATATAGTAAAATAGCTATTTATAGCTATAGTGGCCTTAGTTATAAATTACTTTTTAACTATATAAATATATATATATAAGTATAAAAGAGCTAGCCTTATTAATTAAGTTTAGAAAATTAAAATAAATATAATTATAAGAATATTTCTTATAATAATAATAAGAAGAATAAAAGCAGAGGTATATATTACTAATATATATAAATATTATAAAAAATAGGTAATTAAGATATAAGCTAATTTATATATGCTTTTAATAACTCACTTTCTCTAAAGCTTTATATTTTATATATAAAGGTTTAAAAGATATTAGTACTTATTATTTTATAAGATAATAGTAATACTTAATAAAGTCCTAATATAAAAATTAAACAGAATTAACATTTTTATATTAAAACCTAAGGTAGAATTAATATAAATTATAATAAATAATAAAAATAATTAAAAAGAAATATAAGTAAATTTAAAATAAATAGTATAAGCTATAATTAGTAGTTTAATATAAAATAAGGAAGTTAATATTAATAGGATTATTAAATTCCCTATCTTAATATAAAGAGAATTAAAGTTTAAGTAATTTTCTTTTATATTTAATATAAAAATAAAATAAAATTTATTTTTTAGATAATTAATAATAATAAAATATATATAAATACTTAGCTAACTTTAAGTATAAAGTATTTTTATTTTTATTTTTATTTTTTATTCTTTTAGTTTATAAGTTAGCCTTAAAAGGTATATTTAAGTATTTTTAAAATTTAATATAATTTAAATATTTATTACCCTTATAGCAAGTAAAGCTTTATTAAGTTAAATTATTATAATTAGCTGCCTTAATTATTATTTAAACCTAGCTATATATATATTAGCTAAAAAGCCTTACTTACTTATTAACTAGCTTTAATTTTCTTCTTTTAACTTATTTTAAAAGTCTTTTATTAATCCGTATAATATATTATATTTTAATTATCTATTATATAATAAGTTATTTAACCTAACTTTCTCTTTTTTAATTATAATTACTAATAATATTATAACTACCTTATTATACTACTTATTATTTAAAAAAGCCTATAAGTATCTAGGCTTAAAAAACCTTATTTAACTAAAAGCTATAATATAATCCTTAAAACTAAAAAAGCTTTTAAGTAAAATAAAAATAAAGATAATATATTATATATAATAATTATAAATATTAAAAAGGCCTAGTTTAATAAAAATAATATTAATTATATTAAAATAATACTTTTTAATTATAAAATCCTTTTATTTATATAATTTATTTATAAAAACCCTTTAATTAATAAAAGCTTTTTTAAATATAAAAAGTAAAAGCTTAAGGATTTAAAAAAAAAAAGCAATATAAAGAAATATAACTAAATAAGAAGAAGAGGGGGTTTTTTAGGGCTCTTAACCTAGGTAGCTTATATAATAAGTAGTTTAAGGATATCTAGTAGTAGGCTAAGAAAGTATTAGAAAAGATCTAGAATCTATAATAGGCTGGTTATAGACTTGGACTATAAGTGCATAAAGATAGGGGGATATTATACTGCAATGTAAATAGAAGCGTAGTAATTATAAGATTTAGAAGAAATATATTAAGTTTTATATAAGTTTAGTTACCTAAAGTTAAAAACTTAAAGTTATAAATTTAGTATTAGTAATAAAAAGAAAATTAATTAAGTTATAAGATAGGCTATATAATTAAATAAGTAAATTAGTTATAATATTAATATATTATTAATATAAATAAAGGAAAAGGTATTTATATTATATATATCTTACTTTATTTTTATTAATTATATAATAACTTATATTTTATTTTAAAATATATTATAAGCCTTATAAACTAGCTTATAATATAAACTTATAATATAATAATTATAATAGGTATTTTAAGATAAGAGGTTTAAGCATATTAATAAGGTTAGGTAGATATTTATAATATTAAATATAAAAGGATAAATTCCCTTAAGGACTTTAGCTAAATATATTTTTTATATTTTTTCCTTTTTATACTTTTTATATATATAATTTTATAGTCTTTTCCTTTATATTTAATATTATTAAACTAATTATTTAATTCTCTATCTTATAATAAAGACCTTATTTTAATTAAACCTAACTAATAGTTTATACCTAGCTTATAGTTAAAAAGTATTAAAAGATATTATTATATATAGTCTTTTTTTTATTATTACTTTTACTTTTAAAATAACTTAATATAAGCTAGGTTTAATATATTATAAGCTCCCTAAAATATATATATATTTATTTAATAATAAATAAAACTTAACTTATTAGTTATTAATAATATTTCTTATTCTTAATAAGCCTAATATATATTACTTAATTATTAAGAGATATAATACTTTATATTACTTAATATTATATCTTACTTTATTTATTAATATAAACTTAAAATAACCTAGTTTATTTCTTAGAAATTATAATTATTATATTATATTTTAAAAGGTAAGATTTTTATAATACTTACTTATTATATATATTATATTATTTCTTAAAAGACTTATTTACTTAATAAGGCTTAAAGAAAATTATAATATTATATTATTCTTAAATCCAAATAAGGAGCCAGGCCTAAGAAATAATATAAAGCTAAAAGTAAGAAAAGATATTACTATTATTTATATGTATTTAAAATATTATTACTTAATTATAAAATAATATAAAAGAAGATTAACAGAAAATAAACTATATATAACTAGGCAGAAATTATTATTATTAAACTATCTAATCTAACAGGGGTGCGCGGCATTTACAGGCCATAATTTCATGTATTAGGACCTGACACGGGAGGTAATTTGTATATGGGGCTATCTATTAACGTCCGTCACCCACAGACCGGCCACCCCCACAAACTGGCCACCTCATTTCTTACCCAGCTACCCAATTTATATATACTTTAAATAGCTATAACTCTATGAATTTAATTCTAATTAATTTTAAACTAATATTAATTAATTTAAAATACCTTCTTTTACTAAAAAAGATATAAGTACTATATTTTAAATAGTTATAAATAGAATTTTAGTAAATAAAGTAGCTAAAGCTTATAATATTAATTATTTTACTTTATAAGGTTAAATTAAAGGAGGTATAATATTAAAAGAAGCCTAAAAACTATAATAAAATCTCTTTAATATTTAAAAAAAGTATTTATAAAATTAAATTATTATTTAAGCTAACTTAAGATACCTTATATTATATTAATAAGTTAAAGAGTTTATTAATAAAATAGCTATTTATAATAGCTTCTTATAAGGTATTAAAAGGAACTAGTTATAAGGCTTTTTAAGATAAAATTCTAATATTAAGACTTTAATATTACAATCTCAGCAGTTACGTCACGTGTACCCTATAAAAAACTTTACCTTAGTAACTAACCAGATAAAGGACTAATAAGTATAGGAACAATAGCGCTCCAGGACGGCGTCGTTCTAGGACCGACAATAACCTCATATCGCATCATTCCTATATAAGTACTATTAGTATATAAAACATATTTATTAGCACTTTTATAGAACTTAGCTTACTAGCTATTAATAAAGCATCTTTATATTAATAAGCCTTATATATATTACTTAATTATTAAGAGATGTAATACTTTATAATGCTTAGTATTATGCCTTATGCAATCTGGAAATATAAACCTAATACGGACTAGTTTACCTATTTAAAAACCGCAATTATTATATTTAAGAGGTAAGAAAATTAATTTTAAGTAATATAATAATACTAGTAATATATATAATTAAGTAAAAGAATAAATATAATATTAATAAAGTTAAAATAATAAAAAGAATAAAAATAAATAATTTATTTTTTAATTATAAAAATAAAAAGTTAATACTTATTTATTAACTTAGTTTTAAGTTTTAAATTATAATACTTAAGTATATTTTAGTAATTAAAAAAGTTTTAACTTATAATTATTTTTAAAGGGAAAATAGTCTAATAATAATATTATCTTAAAAATTTAAACATCCTAAATAATTAGGAGTTTAGTTATAATAAAAATAGTTAAATAAGTAATAAATTAGTATTAATTTAGTTAAGAAAAGTCTTTCTTTTATTAATATAATCTAAAAATAAAAATAAACCCTAATTTCTTATTTTTAATAATTATAAAAGTTATATAACTAAGGGATTCCTTTAAGAATACTATAATAATAATATATATCTATTATTTCTCCTTACTTATATTTCTTATATTTTATAGTTATTAAATATTATTATATTTAAATTATTAAAGAAAGTATATTATTAATTTCTTTTAGATCTTGCTTTTATTACTAATAGTAGTTATATTAGTAAGATTATATTTTTATATACTTATAATAAAGCTTAAAAAGAAGCTATTATAAAGTTAAACGCCCTTACTAGCTTTAAGGCTCTTAAATTATAGCCTATTAATCTGGCAAAGATCCTAATAAACTTAATAGTTATTAAGATACCTTCTCCTACTACTATAGCAATTTTATCTATTAAAAAGCAGGATTTTAATCTCTTAAAGACTCCCTAGTTATTTATATAGCTTTAGTAAGCTCTAGAAACTATCTTAGTAATTACTACTTAAAATCTAATTATTAGAATATTATTTAAAAAGACTAGAAGTTAATTAAATAGTTAGAACTTTAAAATAAAAAAGTAAAATAGAGAAATATATATTCTATAATATTAAAAAGAGGAATATCTCTTAAAAAGGCATAAAAAGGTTATCTATAACTTAAATACTAAGTTTATAAAAATTCTAGTATTAAAGAAGGCTTATAAATAAATATAAAGGACTTTATAACTAGAATAAATAGTAGGTAAGGTTAAGAAATTAAAACTTAAAGATTTTTATATTTAGTTTTATTTAAATATTTACTAACTAAATTTTTATTTAATATAAAAAATATAGTATTAAGGTAATTAATTAATTAATTATAATATCTGGTTCTTGGTGTTTTGGCCGAGGTGGCCAGTCTGTGGGGGTGGCCGGTCTGTGGGTGACGGACGTTAACATAACACTTCGAGACTTTAAGTGGATAAGATTGCTTGGGGCCCATTGTGGGAGGTTTGATGGCAGTGGTTGGCGTTAGCACTTAATATCAGAAATAAAGAAGCATTATATTGTTATTGCCGTCTCAGAATCTTAATTCATATAGATATACAAGTTTCTAAACAGACCGAGGAGCAACATAGGCTCTCTTCCAAGGCGCCGTGTCCTCCTTACTAGCAGCCGTCTTATTCTTCTGTACATTCTCATTCATGGGTTTGACATATTCTCTAGATGGAGTCGAAGGGTGTGGTAGCAAATTATTCATAGGGTTTACAGCATCTGCGGTCTAGTACCATATTCGGGGTCAGCATAGGAATAACTAGATTATGCCTAGGAATACCACACCAGACAGAAATCACACCAGGCACCAAACATCAGGACATTATTGCAGCACTTGGCAGAGCCCTATTCGCGATCAATACTCTAGACTTCGAGTCAGGAATATAAGCTTACATAGTAATTCGCGCAGGGGCTGGTCATCTTAGGCAAGATGAGGTCAATGAAAGATAGCTTAGTCGTTTATCGATTCTCCAACAGGACGAAGAGGAAAGATATGCAAGGATCAGAAAGAATCAAACCAAGGACCCGCAGGTCCACGGTATTGAGTCCTCAACACAGCTCTCAACGTAACACAGCTACAGGGATAAAATATTACCTATAACTTAATCAAGGACCCAACAGCTGGAGAAGATGCCATTCTGATGACAAAATTCGCCAGCTCGTGCTGTCGCGTGTGCGATTGGCTTGCTGTATGAGTTAGGCGATTTTTGGGTTCAATTGGCGGGTGGCCATTTACGCTAACGTGCATGTTGGGTTAAGAGCTGCCGCATGATTTTGCCTCACAGAGCGGGTTACAGTGGTAGTACTGTGCCTTCCCGGTGGTAGGGACCAGCTATGATTAATCAAGCTCGAGCGTTAAGCTATGTGCTATAGTAGGCGTTGGCTGCAGAAAGTTCGCTATTTTCATGTCGTGTCGTTCCAAAGCCGTATGAGTGACACCTTGTTGACCAAATTATGCATGTGGAAAGTTCCGTGCATCCTGGCTCATGCTTAGTTAGCAACAGGTAGGAGGCTCAAAATAGTCACATGCTAAATCCATGTATTACTGCATAGACGACGCCATTTAATGCCTACTATGCAAGTGTTAATACCTTCAGCTAGGTCTATAACGTCGCGATTCAATTGCTCCCGGGTTTATAGACGCATATCTACGAATTTTAATGGCATAGTCTAAGCGTTTGTGCTTTAGTATACGATTTCTGTAATTGCTCACGCTGAAATAACCATGACGCACAGACCGCGATCGGCTTTCCGCAAAATAAGCTTCCCGCAGGTGGGAAAATCCCGGAGCCATTAGGGATACGGCTGAGGGGCCCGGGGCTGCACTTTAGGAAGCCAATGGTTACGAATTTCGTGTCAGTCCCAGCGAATGTAGTTATCCGGCTAGGATATTATTCATGTGCAAAGGTGGGGACGATTTAATAATAGGGCTCTAGGGCGACAGTCAACTAGAGTCGACGAGCGAGGCGTTTTTAGTAGCCACAACTAGCCGAATTTGCTACAGCTGATATGCCATATTGTTTCGGGACATCGGGGAAGCGGTACTCATCTAGGTACTATAGACCTGGATTTGGTTGGGTAAAATTTGACTCCAGGCCCTTCGAAATAAGCCCGAATGGGCGCTGGGAAGAAATTGAGGGGGACGGGACCAAAAAATGTCCGGGCGTTAGGTTTCACCCGCCCCCTCCTAAACTCTAATCCAGACTACGGTGTCTACCACCATCTCATTACGGTGTAAGGTCCTAATCAGTAGCATTGCAATTTTGGCAGCCACCCATAGATGACGTCATCTGTGACATTATTTAATCACAGGAGATCAGGGTTACATTAACCAGCAGGGTAATTTCTTATTAAACCTCAGCCTTTAACCTAATAGCGCATAATACTACTTACAAGTAAAGTCAAAGTATGGCAAGAAATGCTACGGGTCAATTGCCCATACTCCACGTAAGTACCTAGATTCATATTATGAGATAGACTTGTCATTTCTCAGTATAATAGGGCCTTTCTCTTAATCCATCCCTAGCTACTAGCCGGAAGACATAGAGGCGGCGTTTAAACATAGTAGTCTGAGATTTAGGGCTCGGCAAATTAGGGCTAGCAGAGGGGAGGGTGGCTTCCTGCACAAGGAGCAGCCTTGGATCCTAGCCCTATATCTACATAGAGAGGCACGACAGGATATAGACCAACTCTGTATTCATGAGCTCTTCACGCGGGATTTTTATTTCTTCTTCTGATATTAAGAAATAGCGATAGCCACTAGTATCAAAACTGCCAGTATGAGCCCCAAGCAATCTCATCCGCTTGATGTTCTTGAGGTCCCACGTTGAGATATAGGCCTATTCCACATTCGGTGAGGGAGAACGCTTGAACTGGTTGGGTAGAGACTATCGAATCAGGCGGCATAGCGGCCTTTTGAATTGGTTCTAAACCCATGGCGAATATGTCGCCACTAACCTTCGATACCCTAGATCCCTGCTGAAAAGAGTTCGTCAGGAAGGGCGGGGAGCTGCCCGCCTCCAGACCCGGCATGTTCAACTCTCCGGCGGTGTTGGCGTTGATTGGGTTCCCGTGGCCGGGGCTCCACGAACTACCACGGGTATCAAAGACAGAAGAACAAGCGAGCATCCCATCCACGCTCTTCCTCGCCTCATTTGCGATGTATTTCTGGATAAGAACGCAATTGCAGTCTGTATGCTGCAGTAATTGGGTTTTTAGGTAGCAAATTTCGACGTTTAAAGAGTTGAAACACATCATAAGATCGCGGTTCTGGCCCTCCATAGCTTCTTCTCGAGAAGCAAGTGCTAATGCCTCATCACGCTTGCGGAGACGACACTTGTTCGCCGCAATGCGATTACGTTCCAGCACTCGGCGCTGGCGGGGATCCTTGGGAAGATCATCATCAAGCTCCTCCTGTTGGCCTGCTACCTTCTGCTCTTTTACCTGCTTCTTGGG